TTTCTTCCTATATTTCAGAGCTTCCTTTTGAAATCTTTTCTTTATGAAGGAAGTTTACTTCAGTGATGATTTGTTGGTAGGATACTCATTAACCTTTGTTGATCTAAAAGTCTTAATTTTTGTTCTTGAAAGATAATTTCACTGAGCATAATTCTAGATTGATAGTTATTTTCTTTCAGGACATTGAAGTTATTTTTATACTCCCTTCCGACTTTTATTTTTGTTTTTGAAGAATCAATTACCAATTTAATTATTCTTCCTAATCTGTCTTGTCTCTCTGGCTATTTTAAGGATTTTTTGTTTCTAGTGTTCTTTGGTTTAATTAACATGTGACCAAGTGTGGATTTCTTTTTATTTATCCAGATTAGGATTTGTGGTGTTTCCTAAATCTGTGGATTGGATTTTCCATCAAATATAAAAAACTCTCGGCTATTAACATGTCAAATATTTCCTCTTCCTTTTAAACTCTCTTGAGAATTCCAATTTAGCATTAGATTTTTTTTCATTCTAGCCCCATATTGTTTAATCTATATTTTGTATTTCCTCTCTCTTTGTCTTCCATTCCCTATTCAGGTAAATTTCTTCAGGTTTATCTTCCAGCTCACCAATTCTCTTTTCAGCTAGCTCTAATCTCCTTTCTTTGAGTTTTAATTTTAATTAATATATATTTCCTTTATAAGGGTTTAATTTAGTTCTTTTTCAAATCTGCACAGTCCCTGCTGATAGTGTCTTGTGGCTTACTCTTTTTTTTTTCAATGCTCTCTTATTTATGTGAATATATTAAAGATACTAACCTAAAATTTTATATCCAGTAGTTCCAATATCTATAGTCTTTGTTGATCTAATTTTAGAGTTTGTTACTTCTGCTAATTCTCACAGTTTTCTGTTTCTTTATGGGTTTTATAGGTTTTTGTCGTAAGCTCATGTTTGGTGCAATACCATGTGACATTGTGCCAGTCAAGAAAGACCTTTCCTGTTCCTTATCTGCCTTCCTTTTCTCCGTAATGACTCCATATATACACAGCAACCCTGGGGGGGGGGGGGGGCAGGAAGAATGAGTGATTGAGTTAAAGAAGAAGGAAGTGTGTTAAATGGGAAAAAAATGAAAAAGGCACACATACATGCATTTCTTTTTAATGCAAGCTCTAGACTGCAAACAAAAACTTAAGATGGGGAGGACAAGAGGCTTTAACTTTACATATTCTTTAGAGTTTGATACTATAAGAGAATGGCTGTCTTAATTACAGACATAGACTGTTTTAGCGTTTAAAAGTGAACAGAAGTCTCTTAATTGTTAAGAGTGGCCAAAGAAATTATGGATCTAGATTTCATTCAAGAAGCAAGGAAGGCCAGGCACTATGGCTCATGCCTGTAATCCCAACAGTTAGGGAGACAGAGGTGGAAGGATAGCTTGAGCCAGGAGTTCAAGACCTGCCTGGGCAGTATAGTGAGACTCCATCCTCCACAAAAAGGTAAAAATAAAAAAAGATAAAAAATAAAAAAAGCAAGGAAGGACTAGACTCATAGGATGGATTAAAATTAGACAAAACAAATAATTCATTTTTCCTTATGAGTATCTAATTCAATTTTTATATGCTTTCATTTCAAGAAATAAAAAGTAGGCTAATTTCAGGTTCTCTTCGAAAATCTTGGCAGAGACATCTGTTCACTTTTAATACTACTAATAATCATCACATCACTTAGGTGAAAATTATATTTTCTGCTGAATTGGTTATAAGCATTTCCTAAATGCTTATCAGGTGGCCTAAGATGACTCAACCAAAAATGGTATGAGGTGTGTGGAGGTAGCTAGCAAGTTGCTCAGAGGTGAGTGAGTTAGCCTGACACGCCACCTAGTGGCATGCATCCTTAAGAGAATGACTATTGCTAACCTTCCAGTATTGGGTGGAGGTGTACCTCACATTACTTAGGGGATGTGTTTTTGAAAAGCTATATATGAATTTATATATATTTTTATTGAAAAACTAAGTACATTAGGAGTTCTTGAAAGTGATATGTTTTTCTGTACACTTTACAAGTTTAGAACTTGCCATATTATGTTTTAGACGCAGCTTCTGTGGATATAATTTGGGGGAAACCTCATGGTTTTTGCTTGGGATCAAGTGGGATTTAGGTACACACCTTTCGTGATTTAAATCTATTTTAAAGTGTTCTTTTAACACCATTGAATTACAAATGCTTTCTGAAGTCAGGTCAGGACGACTCTGATTCTGCAGAATTATGGTGAAGCCAGTTTCTCTTTAACAAGCAAAAACGATGTCATCAAACTGTACAACCAAAGGACCTAAATAGTCCATTCCCTAATCTTTGGCTGTAGAAAGATGAATCAATCTCCTGTCTCTTGTTCTCTCTCTCACTGTCTCTAAAAAACAAGCAGAGGAGAAAATTCCAGAGTCTTATGTTAAAACATTTTACTTTCTTTTTTTTTTTTTTTTTTTTTTAACAATCCTATCTCTCTGGAGACAGACTTCTCATATGTTCTTACAAATTTTGCATAGAAGCATAGCACCAATGGTTTCTATCTGGCTCTCTTTCTTTCCCTGAGATGTTAATGTCCAGTAGAGCAAAGCTAGATGGATATATGTGTATATGTGTGTATATATATGTGTGTGTGTGTATATATATATATATGTATGAACAAAGGGGCTGTTCTAAAAACAATGTTAACAGAAATTGACTATATATATAGACATATATATATATAATGTCGAATGACATATATATAGCCATTATATATAGAGAGACAGTATATATAGAGACATTATATATATATAATGTCGATTTCTATTAACATTGTTTTTAGAACAGCCCCTTTGTTCAACTGAATGTAGTTAAATTATAATGGACATTAATACCCAGCTCCACCTTCCCAGCCTCTTCATATTGCTGG